CCGTACTCGGTTCTCTGACTATTGAGAGGACAAAAAAGAGAGTAAAAAAAGGTCCTCTGAATATTTAGCTGAAACTTTGCAGATGTTTCATAATTTTTGCGCAAAGTTTGAAATGTGGATTTATATGGTGTTTGTTATATAATAAGCTAGACTTTTGTGGAAAAATAATAAACATTAAATAAACAAAAGAAAAATAGTCAAAATTTATCAAAATATTGCTGGCTTAATTAGCTGATCACAAGTGTATATATGCATATTTATGTATATTTTAATATGTACATACAGTGACTCAAATCCAAAATGGAAACCCCCAAACAATTTTTTGTTAATATTTACAACTTTTTTCATGTTNGTTGAATAATTATTGTAATTTTTAATAAAAATAAAGCTCATAGAACACCAAACCCAATTCCAAAGTTTGAAAAAAAAACTAGGAAAATTCGACAAAATTTTAAGAAAACTTCCAACTTGTTTATAAAAAAGATTTTTTAGAAATACTTACACATTATACTAAAGTATAATGAGAGCAAAACTGCATACCAGAAATATTTCTGAAAGAACTGATCAAAAAGTTAGAAATTTTCATGAAAATTTCGTCGAATTTTCCTAGCTTTTGTACACTTTAGCTTTTATGTTTTTGTTGTTCTATGATCTAACATGAAAACTTTGTAAATATTAAAAATTTTTTTTTTGGAAAATTCGACAGTTTTAATGAAAAGTTCTATCTTGTTTATAAAAAAGATTTTTTAGAAATACTTACACATTATACTAACGTATAATGGGCACAAAACTGCAAACCAGAAATATTTCTGAAAGAACTGATCAAAAAGTTAGAAGTTTTCATGAAAATTTTGTCGAATTTTCCTAGTTTTTGTACAAACTTTGGAATTTTAGCTTTCATGGTTTTTGTATATTGTACTATATTAAAAAAAAATACAGAAATTATTTAACATGAAAATCTTTGTAAATATTATAAAAGAAAAAATGTTTGGTGTTTTCCATTTTGGCTTTGAGCCACTGTACATAAATACATAGAATACAAATATTTATGTTATTATAAATATTAGTATATGTATAAGTATAGTTAAGTATAAGTATAAGTTATAAGTATAAGTATAGATCGAAATGTTATCATTGATCAATTCACAAACTAATGTTTTGTTTGGACAAGTACTTTTTCTGCTTAATGCGATTATGACTTAATTCCACTAATTTTCTTACTTCCTTTTCAAAAGTTATTCTTTCTTCCTTGGAGTTTAAAAATGTCTGCCGAAAAAGGAATACAAATTCAATGTAAAACTGTTTAATAAATTCGAAAAATTACAGAAATTACCAAAAAGAACAGTGCCAACTAGCTTTAGCTTGGACAGGGCCTTTTTGTTGCAACGTCCGTCCCAGTTGAACAAGCCGAGGACCTCGTCGCTAAAAATTCGTTTAATAACTGAATCAATGTCCCCGGTGGCTCCTTTCATTATGTACAAGTACGAAGACTGTAAGAAAAAACTGTTGTTCTATAAACAGGTAATATAATATACAGCAAAACAATACTTACAACCGCGTCCTGGTAGGTTGTATCATGGAGCTACCCCTCCATGTCAAAAACGGCGTCAATGGACATCATAGGCAGGATGTCGTTGAGCTCATTATGGAGATCCTCTCCAGTCTCTCCACTTATTTTGCATATAATCTGATGCACCTTTTTGGTGAGCACTTTTGTCTCCCTAACGGCTTTATGATGTGCCAACATGTCAGGTTTTTGGATCATCTAAATTGTATAAATAACATACATATGTACACAACTAAATATGTTTTTCTCAACACATGATTTGGTTATAGCTACATTGTTTGGTTATAGTTACCAAATCATGTGTTGAGAGCAATATATTTAGCTGACTTTTTTCGGACTATATATTGAAATAAATACAGGGTCCGGGAAAGTGGTCCTAGATACTTAATGACATTTTTATTTAGGTAATTTCTAATTAATGAAATGGGAATGACTTGATGAATGAGAAACGACCTATATAATAAATGTCCTTAAATATCTAGGATGACTTAGCCGGTAACCCTGTACATAAATGAACAAAATGAGAGGAAATTACATACATTCTCTTCTATCTTGTCCATCCGGGCCTCTAGGTCACACTGCTTACTAAAAATGTGATGCAACATCTCCATTACATCTGTAACAATGGAAGAATAGATAAGTTAAAATATTCCAACAAATGGTTTCCATTTACCTTTATTAGGATTCGACACCGGCGGAGAACAATCGGTTAACGGAGCACTCTGGTCCAATTGTGAATTCAAAACTTAAAATAGATTTCATTAGTACACTTAGTTAATATTTATCTTAATCACAATTTACCTTGATGAGAAGCAAAGTTGAAATGCGAGGAAAGTTTCACCTTCTTCCTTGCTCCCATTGATGTGGAGGCCACCGGTTCAGAGTCCCCANGCACTCTGGTCCAATTGTGAATTCAAAACTTAAAATAGATTTCATTAGTACACTTAGTTAATATTTATCTTAATCACAATTTATGAGAAGCAAAGTTGAAATGGGAGGAAAGTTTCACCTTCTTCCTTGCTCCCATTGATGTGGAGGCCACCGGTTCAGAATCCCCGAAAATAATGGAATTTATTTCCGCTTTGTCCATGTCCCTAACGGGAATTTCATGTAAATTATTGAAAACAAAAAAAAATTATTAGTAGTATAAGACTTAGAATTTTAATATAAAGCAACTTAATCAGCCTTATTATGAATTTCATGTGAACAAATATTCCCAAAAATTATAAAGCAAAACAAAAACAATTTTTCCCAATTTGTTTTTGTTTTGCCTGTTAAACGTTTTATTCACATGGAGTTGGCGATAAGGCTGAATGAAACATAACTAGTTCGAAAAGTCGTGAAAGAGGTGGTGAAGAAGGGGAATTAAGATAAATTTATTTTCAAATGGAACACAAAAATATTTGTACTTAATAATACTTTTGGAAATTTTTGTTTTTTCGTTACACAGTCCACTTGCAAGTAAAATACCAAGAGAAGAAAAAGATTCAAAGGGTTCATTAAAGTAATTACTTAATTCTTTAAAACTGTATCCAATTACTATCTCTTCTCCCGATTCCAAACGCGACTCTATAACTTTAAAAGGTCCTGTGATTTCGCTAAAACAAAACGAGTCTTTCTCTTTCTTAGGATTGATCGAAAATTGTCCAATTTTTAATTGCTTTTGTTCTAAACTTTTTCTTTCCTCGAGTCTTAAAAATAGTTGCTGTAATATATTAGTGGGACTTTTTATAATTTTTTTCATACG